TATTTCCATCCCAAGGCTTCTTGGAAGTTGGTTTCCTGATCCAGGCTGTTGGAAGGATTTATTGCTGTGCATGATTTAAAAGCAGTAGCTGCATGTTGTTTGTGTTTCAGGAGCAGTTTTTTGATATTGAAGGAGAATTAATGCTGTGTTATATTTGGCAATGCACAGCGCTCTTTTGGTCCTAAAACACAGATCTGAAAGAAACTTGACTAAAGAAAACATTTAAAAATAATGTGATGATGAAAAAGCAGAAAGCTTTTAAGGAACTTAAGGAAGTAAGTTCCTTATTCCTAAAAAGAAAGCTTTTAAGGACTTAAGGAAATAGGAGAAAGGGCTGTGGATTTGCCACTGTCAGTAGTAATTCATCATAGTCACCAAATATGAAATAGTTCAAGTTCAGTGCAGTACAGGTGATGTGAGCATCCGCAAACTTCTGAACTGATTGCTGGATTCGTGTCCATGCAGTCCTGGATAAAAGGGTTTCAGGAAAGTTGCTTTGTATTTTTAAAAGGGTTTCAGAAAAATGCTTTGTATTTTGCATGGAACACTCCCAGTCAAGCATTCCCATGGATGATTTTGATCCTGACAATTATTTCTGTCTTTGGTGTTGATGGTGGCATGGCAATCTCCTGTTTAGAAGATCTGTAATGCAGAGCCATGTATTGACATTACTGCTGCATCCTCCTGCACTTCACTGCTGTGTGGAAGAAAATTTCCTGGGGTGCTGGAAACGATGCTCTTGTTTTTGCAGAGTAGAACTGCAGTGAAGTTACAAGAAGTTCTTTGTCACTTCCAGCAGACAGCATCACTGACACAACATTGCTTACAATAATCTAGCTCTGCCAAGGAGCAGAGAGTGCCGTTTCCTGTCTGTAGCTGAAAGAGCACTCAGCACTAGTACCAGTGGGCATTATTTAGTCTTCTCAAGGAGGAGCTGACCTCTCTTAGCTAATGTTGTCACATCTGTATAGTATTGCTCAGTTAAAACATGGTGCTTTCTTCATGTATTTGAGCCCAGAGGGTTGCTACATTAGAACTTGCATAGTTTTGAACTAATCTGACTTATATACCATGTGTATATAAGTGGAGCTTTGCAGGTGTCTCTTTTCTCCCATTTAGACAAAGCTGTGGAAAACCTGAAGTACTTTAATTTTTGCTCCAGAAGCCAGGCTGTCAAGGTCATGCTGTCAAATTGGACAGGAAAAGTCACAAGTCTCTTACAGCTGGTTTTTTTTTCAAGTAGTTTTCAGACTTGCAGTACTGCATTGTTTATGTTGTGGTTTATTTCTGGATGGTTATTGCAAACTAGGAGTTGGAAATTAGCTCATTGAACATGTTTGATTCTGGGACAGAAACCTGCAGTGAGCTTTGAATTCCACAACAGATACTGGTGCCACAAATGCCAAAAAATAAGCAGAATCTGGAGTGTAAGGATAAGAGAGGTTGATTGCTCCCCAAGAATGCCTATATTCCATTCCTTGGTAGTAACTAATGACAATAAGTTTTTGAAATCCTAGATTTTGTAATGACTTTATCAAAATTCCTACAGAGTCCCAGCACAGAGCACCTTTTCTTATGAATTTAACCTCTGTCTTGTCTGTGTGTTTCATGTGAGTAGGGAGCCCAGATGCTTGCCAGTTTTCATTCCTCTAGTGATTTGGCAAAGTGTAATCATTGTAAAGTGCAATTGCTTAATATGTAGCTCATTCACTAAAACCCCAAGGATCAAGGCAGTGAGTAATGTGAGTCATTACCAAAGCAGTGGTATCTGAAAGGATGAAGAGTCATGCATCAAGTACCAATCCATTTAGGCTCAAATTCAGAATTGTTTAAAAATCACTAGTTGGATGTGATTGATATTATCTCCAGGCAAATTAAAGCAGTTACCTGCAATGCTGTGCTGCTGCTTTTCTCCTTTGTTATTAAAAGTACTGCTCAGTTACATGTCCCCACTGCTCTGTTTGTCTGTCTGAAACACTTGCAGACCAGCAGCTTTCCCAGGTGCCATCTGCATCTCCCTTCCCTTTTCAGGCACTACTTATCATTGTGCCTGAGATTCAGAAACTTGGTGCAGAAAATAGGAAGAACTCTGCTGATGTGGTCAGCAGTGCTGTGGTTCAAATTTGTGAATTTTATTCACACATTTTTTTTTTCCCAGCCAGGTTTCAACAATTTTCTTGGTTTTCTTTGTACTAAATCATAAGAGCAGGAATAGATTTTTTTTCTCCATCTCGTTCTGCCTAGTGCCATGAGGTTGTATGTAGCAGTCTGAGGGGGCACCCAGGTTTAACACAAAAAGGATTTATGCATGCTGATAAATCAGTGGTTATGCTTTGCTTCCAAGGTTTCCTGTGGGAATAAAAATGACAGGGTTCCTAAAATACAGTGAAAAAACCCCAAAGAACAAAACAAGGCATGTGCTGGATGTTAGTGTAGCTCCCTTGAAGTCAGCAGGGGTTGGACAGCATTGCACTAGTTGGGATCTACAATTAGAGGTATTAAATTGTGAGTGATATTAAGAGCATGAAATAATACACAATAAATGTGAACATCAGTCTGCAGCTCTGCTCATGGACCACTTTTATAAGGCATTGTAATATACAGTCATGTGTATTTAATTTGTGCTTTTGTATGTTTAATTTGTGCATCAAGACCAGACCACAGCCTTCAACTGTGACTCAGTTGCTCTTAAATGAGGGTTATAACCCACAACCAGTGCTCCTGTGTGTTCCCTGGATAAAATTATTCCAGGAAATGTAACAGCAGACTACAGATCATCTTTACATTTTAGAAATCAGGTATGTATAATCCATTTTTGCCTACTAATTTCTGTCTTTATATCAATTTCTCAAGTCTGTCAGATGCAAATTTTTAATTAAGTGCTTTCTGTAACTGGACAAGCACTGACACCACCATTAGGGCTTTTCTCCTCCTTTTGCAAATTGAGTTGTTTTGTACTGTACTTGTGATTGCCCTTAGGATCAGTACAGCACAGAGTGTGTACCTCAGAGAGTCCCTTTAAAATAATACTTTGCCCTGTAATATGTAGAAACAGATAAGATGTTTCCATTGATAGCCTTGGAGCCTGTGGAACACTGTCACCTTGTTTAGGGATCCCAGACAGTGCCTTCATGAGATTCATTACAGCACTGAGTCTTTCTAAGTGGCTCCATCAAATGATTTGAAGGAGAAGCAGCTGCAGATCAAACCTGACAATGTCAGATGTCAGAGTAGGTGATGCAGGAAGAAGCAACCCTGTCACATCAGATCAGAGGTTTACAGGTCAATGATCTAGAAAAAATGTACATTTCACGGCAGAAATTGTCTGTGAGGCGTACTCCATTTTTATACCTGATTTTTGTGGCGGCTTGGGTATCACCTCTGAACGCAGGCACACAAAATCCTTGAGGGCACTACATTATGACAAAATATGGAGGTTTTTTTTCTTTTTCTCCCCCCCCATTTGGTTGAGCTGGGAATCCTCAAAGGAAGTTGCAAGAAGCAAAACCTGAGGTTTAAGTCCACTACAACCCTTGAAGGTGTCTGCACTGTTTTGGAGAGTGTGAAGAATGAACAAGCTGTGCTTCTACAGGCAGGCTTTAGGAAGCCCCACAGTTGCCCAGTTGTGCAGCTCTTTGTGGCTGTTGTTCTCATAGGACATCTAGAGCTTGCATCACGTGCTAAAAACTCAGAGACATGCAAAACGTGTCTTTGAAACATGAAGCATGTTTCTATGAAACATGTTTGTTATTAAATATATCCCCTCAAAGATGAAGAGCAGTGCCATATCCAGCAGGCACTTCTGTGTTCCCAACCCAGAGAAAAATGCCTGTAAGAGGAGATTTGCAGAAGGTAGACATGAAGGCAGTAAATGGAGATTTTTTTCACAGTATCTTTCACATTGCTTTCACATTGTTTTCTGTTATTAAAACTAATATAACAGGAAAAAATTATGTATGTAGCTAGAAGACTTGTAGTACCTGAGTGACTGCAGTGGTTTAACTGTCAGCTCACTCTCTTTACATGTTGGTGTTGGCTGAGAGCCCTTTGTTTCTGTAAGTTTGTGTGGCAAGAAGTTGAGTGTCTCCAGCACTGAGATTTGTTGTGTGAAAATTACTTTTGTTTCAATTGCTGTATATTGAAATGTTGAGAATTGAGCCCTTCCCTTTCAAAATTTACTTTTCTGACATGAGCATCTCTGTTCAGCATTTCACCTTGAAAGAATTTTTGTCTTTAATGATAACAGTGATAGGGAAGGATGTATTTTCTTTTCCTCAGTGTCTAAATTGCCCCTGTTACTCTTGATCGGGGCTAGTTGATAAGGGACAGCTGCCCATCACTTTGAAGTGACCAAATTGTCCTGATTGAAGTGTTAATTGTGCCAGAATTAGTAGGAAGAGTCTTAAACTGATTTCTGTCATTTCTCACTCATGAAGTTACGTACTGATGAGCTGATGGGAGAGAAAAATTATTTCTAGCAGATAAAGATCTCCAGTGGTGTTTTTTAGATTTAAAAGTAACTTTTTATGTTTAATTTCAGTTGATTTCTAGCAGGTTTGCTAACCTTGTGTAGATATAGGTAGGTTTAATGCTGATTTATTGAGATAGAAATAAAACTGGTGCAACTACACCAAATCAGAGTTTGACTGCAGTGAGGCAAACCCTCCTGCATGAATACATCTTCTGAGATTCCTGTTTCTAACAATTTCTAAGCCTTATCCATATAAACCATTCAGTGAGAGTCTTTCAATCAATAAAAGTGTTTATTATCATCTTGGATAAATAGGAACAGTTTTGTGCATGAATTGGATATGCTGGTTTAAACCTGCTTGCCACAGTTCAGCTTGGCTTAGTTTCAGGCAGGTGAAAGCTGAATAAATACAACCAACATTCAATTCCTGCAACACAGTTCACATCTAAATAGCTCTGGAAAAATTAGTTTTATTTTCAAACCAGCCCAAACAATCCCTAAGTTTCCATAAGTCTTCCCATGTATCAGTTTATAGACTTTTAAATATCACAGGTTAGTGAGTGAAAAGGCTTCAGTAAAGTCAATTAATTGCTTCCACTTATTGATGTGACCTGGCCTATAGCTTAGTAATGGCTCTGGTAATGTTGCTGCTCCAGAAAATAGCTTTATTTGCCAAGTTTCTGTGTAAAACCCAAAGGCTATGTGCTATAGGCTGGTCACTGGTCCCTCAGCCTCTCGCTGCTGTGCTCACAGCAAGCATGAGAGGGCTCAGGGACAAGTGGGGGTTTTGTACTGTGGCAGGTACGTGGTGGCTTTCAGGGACTTGCCTGCTCCACACCTTGGCTGGCAGCTCCAGCCTGCCAGAGAGGGTGAAGCCTCAGCAGCTGCCCTGCCTGGATCTGGCCTTTTTGGGCTGGAGGTGTTTTCCCTTTCCCTTTTGTTTCTCAGCAAATATTTGAAATGCTCTGTCAGTCTGCCCAGTGCTGCTGTTTTCTGGCTCGCTCTGCTTCAGGCCACCAAGTATTTGGGTTCGTCAGGCCTGAGCTTCATGATCTTGTCCATGCAGAGCAGGATGAGGGTGAGGAACCAGAGGCTCCAGCCGACGGCCGCTGCGATCCACCCGTAGTCATCCATGCCTGAGGGGCAGCACGTGGCTGCCTGCCTGCAGAAGTTCACATCTGGGGGAGGAGAAGTGAAGTGAGCCCAGGAGGCTGAGTACATGACAGGTTTCCTTCACTAGAGAGGGCAGATGGCTTCTGCCCTATCACTCTGCCTTGGCAGCTTTCCTCTAAGCCTGGCTCTTAAGTTGGTGGATGACTCTGGAGGAGTGGTGGGACCTCGGGTTGTTTGGGGCTGGCTGTCAACGCAGGGTCCCCCTGACCTTGGTGTAATTAGCACTGACTCCATGATGCAGAAGGCTGAACCATTGCTTTATTCCTCTATACTCTATTAATACTATATTCTTAAGAAACCCATAACCCCTTCTAGCCAGTCTGATACAGCTTTGGCCTCATTGGTCCACCAACTAAAACACCACCGCCTCTTTGGTAAACAAATCTCCATAACACATTCCACTTTTGCCTGGCAACGGGTGCAGCAAGTGGAGATAAGAATTGTTTTAATTCTTTCTCTGAGCTTTCTTACAGCCTTCCCCAGAGGAAATGCCTGGGAAGGCCTGTCCCTGCTCTCTGTGGCCAGAGAGCTGCTGCCCCAGCTGGCTGTTTGGGGGGAAAGGGGCCTTCTTGGGAACCCCTATAATGCCTGCAGGCAGTCTGGCAGGGAGCTTTAGGACACAGACTGGCTATCAATTATTCTGTTCAAAGCTATCAGTCTGTCTCAATGTACCTAAGATATCACACCATGACAGTGGAGGAGTCTTAGAAATGCATCCTAGAGGTTGGCCCACAATGGAAGACTTGAGAAGACATAAATCCCTTTCCAGGACAGCTTCTCAGTCACTGTGCAGACTCATCACCTAACTTTAACAGGTAGTAATTATTTATGAAGACTTACTAAGACACGATGGTTCATACTCAGTTGTTGAAACATTGGAGATGTCTTCAGCTGCTGCCAGAAGGAAAGCACAGGACAAAAGGTAAGTTGGATTAGAAAAGTGATGTTGGGCATCAAGCAGGAAAATCTGAAAGCCATTGGCCTTGTTGAGGTCTGTAGGGTGGAAACAACTTATTTTCTTTAAGTTCCTGTCCCTAAACATTGCTGTATTAGGTTTTGCTTCCTTATCCCACCACTTTTAACTCCAGCTCCAGAGACTTGCTCTAGCAGCATCCCTCAGGAGCAGGTGAATCTCTGCACCTCTGCCTTGCTGTGACCCTGGCTGGGCCATTCCCTGGGAGCTCAGATTAACCACTGTCCTTGCCCAGGCTGCAGGGGCAGAATGAGCAAGCACGGAAAGGGGAGACACCACTCAGTGGCATGGAGAGATCCATGGCCAGCAGGCTCTACCTCTGCCTCCTTTTGCCCTTGGAAAAATCCCAGAGTGCACAGGAGTGTGGCAGAGCCAAGGGCTGAGCCACCTTTGGGGAGCCTCAGCAGGTCCATCAAGGCCCCAGCTTTGGCTTTGCTGCAGGTCAGAGCATCTGAAACTGCTCTGGCTGGACTCTGGTTCCTACCAGCACGGTAGCCAGCTCAGGGTGGAAAATACAACATCCAGAAATAAGTCAGGAGGGAGAGGCCTGGAGCTTTGATGAGCATTCTGCCTCTTTATCCTGCTCCTTACCCAGAATCAGCATACACACACACTCTGATACAACTCTGTAGCTGGTGTCCAGCTCTCCAAATCTGCTCATGGTGTCACAGGCCAAACCCTCCTTAGTCCTCTTAATACTGCCTTGCCCCTGCAGCACTGCGGGATCAAACCAGGACCGCTGCAGGGTGCCTGCAGGGGTAAAACACAATCTGCACTGGCCCCTGTGCATCTGCCCCTCTACAGAAGGAAGGGATCAGAGAAACACCCCTTCCTGTCAGCAGCACAGTTCAAGTTCAGCCAGGTAGAGTATTTCCTGCACAGACATGAAAAGTGGCCTAGGTAGGCTCCAGTAGTGAGGACTCCTACTGCATGGAGAAGCCCTAATGTGCTGCTGGTCCATGGACCAGGCAGAAGCCATGAGAGATCTATTTCCAGCCAAGGCAACACTCTGAGCTGGTAATTTGGAATGTAATAGAGAAAATCAGCACCAGCTTGGTTTCACCGAAGACTAAAATAATAGCTCAGGTTTAGTTTCAGCTGAGGAAAACAAAACAGAATGAGACACATTTGACCAAAGATTTGCTTTGAGTTTGGTGTTTTCCAAGTAACAGCAAGTAAACCGAGGTTGTCCTGCAGGACATGTTCCCCTTGGGGTCACCTGCTCTTGCCCAGCTCTGTGTTTTGAGCTGATCCATCATCAGCAACACCAGAGCTTTCCCTGTGGCTCTGCCATGCTCAGAGTGAGCCCCTGGGCAACCTGCTTCAGGGAAGGGTCCGACTATTCCCCATTCTTCTGTCTGACTCTGGTAGGATTTGCAGAATGACCTTGGCCAAGCCCATGGTTTGTTTTCTCAGTTAATAAGTACCTCACAGAAGAATCATTAAAACCTGTGTATGACCTGTGGAAGGAAGTACTGCAGAATGCCAGGTGCTGGTTTGTGGTTTTAAATCTTGCAGCCCAAAGAACAGGCTGTCAAAGCCAGCCCATCTTTAAACAGCTGGCAGCTCTCATCTGGTGCTGATACACAAATGCAGGCTGTAGCCTGGTGAGAAAGGAGCAGCTCACAGGTCCTATTTACATTTTGGTTTTCTTCTACTATTAAGGTGGTACTAAAGCCACATTTTCTGCTAAAAGCTTGTCATGAAAGTGAAATCAGACTACAGTGATCCTAATGGGCGGTATTGCAGGTGGTCCTTTGCTTCAGCAAGTAGGAGAAGGCCAACTAACAGTGGCCTCTGTCTCCTTGCCATTCAGAGGAGCCACCTGCAACTCAGTCACAGTTACAGTGGCTCTGTAAATAGCTGGCAAAAAACCATCCCTTTACAGTGTGATCAGTCATGTCTAGTAATTCTCATCAGCATTAATTAATTAATTCCAGCTCTTCATGCTTTTTAGGTGAAGCGAGGGAGTGCCCCCTTATTTTTAAAGAACAAATTACTGTTGGTGGGCAGTACATGAAGGCATTGAGAGGAGCAGGGGGAAGGGCAGGGTATCGGAGAGGGAGAGGGAGAGGGAGAGGGAGAGGGAGAGGGAGAGGGAGAGGGAGAGGGAGAGGGAGAGGGAGAGGGAGAGGAAGAGAAGAGAAGAGAAGAGAAGAGAAGAGAAGAGAAGAGAAGAGAAGAGAAGAGAAGAGAAGAGAAGAGAAGAGAAGAGAAGAGAAGAGAAGAGAAGAGAAGAGAAGAGAAGAGAAGAGAAGAGAAGAGAAGAGAAGAGAAGAGAAGAGAAGAGAAGAGAAATACCTGCAGAGCAGGAATCCCAGAGGGCAGCGGCGAGGCAGAGCACAGCGAGGGCTGCCCGGGGCTCACAGGACAAGCGCTTCATGCCGAGGGTGCCACTCCAGTGTCTCCACAGAGCAGGTGGCTGTCACTGTCGCTGTCAGATCTGCTGCAGCAGTCCCTCGGTGAGCTCAGGGAGCCGCTGCGCTGGGCAGAGGGTGGAGCAAGGGAGCTTCCTGCTGCCAGGACACCTTGAACTTCCCTGCCACAGCCAGGTGAGGAAAGAGAAGGGCTCTGACCAAAACAGCTTCAGTGGGAGGTGGATACCAGGAGGTGGCCCCTGAAGGTTAAGCCTGAAGGTTTCTCTCCAGGATATGCTGCAGCTGGAAGGAGGAAGGGCCTCCAGAGCCAGCCCTTCCCAACAGGGTCCCAGGCAGCTTCTGTCTTTTGAGTCCTGTGAAGATGGTTTAATAGAGCCAGAAAGGAGCAGAGGACTGGAGCTTTGTCTCCCAGTTTGGTGATTTTTGTTTTACATGTTCACTGGCTTGACTTGCAGTAAAGTGATGCTTTTTTGAAATAACTGTGTGGAATCCCAAAAACCAGCAGCATTAGGTCTGCTTTTGTTCTTTCCCTGTGAGCACAGCTCTCTCCCTGCCTCCATCACCCTCTGCAAAGTGATTCTGGAAGGGCTGTTCTTTCTTCTCTGGTGGCTATTGCACCTCCTCCTTGGGATGTGCCAAGCAGAATCTGAGCCTTCCTGCAAGCATAGCTCTGTCTGCACCCAGTAGGGATGACAGAAAAATGATGCTCTCTGGAGAGCGGGAATTTTTCTGCAATCCTGGCTGGAAAAGTCACACCGTAAAGTGCATGTGGTGTTGTCCTGGTCTGATGAGCAGCACACTTTGCTGCTTTTCCCCAGGCTGTTGGCTGTGCTTGCTCCTGTCTTTGACATGATGATATCCTTGTTAGAGGAAACATCAGGCATGAAAGCAGGCAGGAAGGCAGTGGCAGAGGTGAGCTCTGCAGGGAGCAGGTTGCTGGTGCTCTTCTGCAGTGGTCACTCATGGCTTTGGGTGCTCATGCTGGAAGAAACCTGGCTGGGATCTGCTGTGGATTTGCAGACATTTTAGGGGAGGCATGGGGCAAGGCATGTGGGGCAGCAGTCCTTGTGGGATGGAGAGCATTTAACAAATTTCTCTCTTTTCCCTTCCATATGGCTGGAACCCACAGGAAAGGACATAACAGGCTTCCCACATGAATGGCACACACCAGGGTACAGCTCTGCAAGGCTGTGAGGTTGATTTGGTCTCCCTTCATTTAAGGAAAACCTTGACAGCAAAACCCACATGGGTTTAGCCCTGCACAGTGTTTCTGTGGGGTGAAGCCGCTTGTCCTCACCACCAAAAATGCTCTGCTCCCACCCAGCTGTGAATATTTCCAGGATGCATCAGGACAAGGCAGCCAGATGTTCCCCAGGCAGAGGGCACACGGAGCTGCAGGTGAAGGCAGGTCAGGCGTGTGTGCCCAGCCTGTTTTCATGTCAACACTCCACCACCAGTGCTGGCAGAGCTGGAGCTGTGCTGGCTGGTCTGTGACAGCCCCCTCCTGCTGCTGCTGTCCTCCTGTCCTTCAGCTGACACCCGAGGTGTGGCACCAGGTGAGTCCTGGGGCTGTGACCCAGCAGCCACCGCCCCGGTAGTCAAGAGTCACAGCAGGAGAGATGCTGTAAAATGCTCAGAGCTGCTTGAAATTCACCCCTGGGATAATTTTCCCTCTGGCTTGTTTCAATGTCTCAGCCTCCTTTTGTGGAGGTTGCCTTTAAGTTGTATATTTTCCTGAGCTACCTGTTGCATCAAAACTAAACTTTAACTCTTTAAGTGGGAAGGCTCCTCTGCTGTCTGCCAGATTTGCCTTTCCATTTTGAATTTCTCACCTTCTATTCCCACTGAAAATTGACCTGGCAATTAATTTTGCAAAAGTAAATGAATTCAAAAGTATTCTCTGCAGCACAAAATGCTTGAGGAGAAACAAAAAGACAAAACTGATCTGCTATTGCATGAATGATTCCATTTTTAATGAAATCTCTTTTGAATTTTAACTATTAACTAAATACTCTTTGTCAGCTTGTAGGCAAATGTCCCCATTTCTAAGGGATGCTGAAGATGCTTTTGCACAATTAACATAATGTGTTTCCTTTCTTTTCCAAATGGTGTTCCCTCCGTGGCTCAGAAAGGGCTGCTCCAAAGTCTCCTGAAGCAGAGAACAGGCTGCGCTTGGCTTCAGTGATTTTTGGATCAGGTTGGAAATGAAGGCTCTGCTTGATAAGTTCAGACACAATGGGAGCTCTGCAAAATCATTTCCTGACACAGATTTGGATTTGTTTCATTTCTTCTCTGTAACACGTTTATATTTCAGGGCTGTGACTGCCTGGAGAGCGATAAGACACTCCAGAGCCTTCCCCTGATTTCTACTCCCATCTCCCTCCACGAGGGTGCCCTGGCATGTGAGGCACAACTGCAGACCCTGCAGAGATGGTGCTTCCTTTCCTTGGGCTCCCATTTCCATGCTGTTCTCAAGACAAGACTCTTTACTCTAAAATTAGGTCCTTCCCCAGCTCTCCTCTTGGAAATTCTTCCACAGTGTGTAGGGCTGCTGGGCAGCTTTCCCTGATGGTTATGGAGGAGGCAATAGCTACTGTGGGGTAGATTTTGTGCCACAGAGAGCTTCAAGGCCAAGATTCTCTGGTGACCAAAGTATTGCCCTTGACACATCACCAGGTGTGGCTCTCAGGAAGTTCTTAACCTTTATCACACACAAACACACTCACTCTGTGTGTGTGTATACATATTCTGTTTACATAGGCAACTGGTTTGTATTTCTCATTCCAAATGAAATCTGATTGCTGCAGAAAAAAAAAAAAAAGCTCAAAATCTTAAACCTGCTGCCAATAATGTGTCCATCAGGGAGGGGGCCAATTTGTTTGCTGTTTTCATTGATGTGGAAAAAAAAGCCATCTAAGAGAAAGCTACCTGTGAACAGGGGGGTTGATTTTTAAAACTCAGACAAAAAAAAATGTCAAAACCACAAAGGTTTTACTCTTTAATGCTTAAACTCACAAAGTTTTTACTCTTTAAAAATGAAAGAAGGGGAGAGGGGATGTGCTGTCACACAGAGGAAAGCAAGTCTAGCATTTTGGAAAACAGCACAACCCTGCCCTTTGTGTTCTCCAGTCCAGGCTGGGGGTGGTATTAGACAAATGTTGAGCCTGTGGCCCTGCTGTGACCTCATGCTGTCCATCTGGAGACCCCAGAGAGAGGGCTCCAGAGCAGCCAGGCAGTGAAGGGCTGGGAGAAAGGCTGCCTTCAGTTCACCCAGGCAGAGCTGCCTGCACCAACAAAGAGCCCACTGATGGGGCTTCTCCTCATGGCCAGCCATCATCATCATCTCATCTGCATTAATGGGATTATTAGAAAATAATGTTCTTATTCCCACATGCCAGAGGCATGAAACAGGATAGGCTTTCTTCTTCTCTCCTCTCTGCTTCTCACCCGTGAGGGTGGGGGAGGGCAGCAGAGAGGCTTTATCCCTGCTCACTCCTCGGCCAGCAGGATGGAGCAGCCAGCTTGGTGCAGCTTGCTCTGGGGACGGACTGTGCTTTGGGGGGCTGAGGAAGAGCAGCAAAGGAACAAAGAGGAAGCAAAGCCTGGTGTCATCAGATGAGCACAGGGGGAAGAATGTGGTCAGAGGTGAGGGGAGCAGCCTGAGGAGCTGTTTTGTTTTGTTGTGTCAATATGCACCAGTTTGGGACTGAATGATGACTCCTGTTGTTTGGTATCTCTCCATGTGCTGGAAGGCAAAGTCCTCCCTTTGCCTCACCAGCTTCTCCCCAGCCCTGTGGGGCATCCACACAGTCAATGGCAGTGACTTCACATCTGCCTGATCAAGGTAATTTCCAATTTCCTGACAGAAGGTGCTGACCTTCATCAGCCTTTAGTCCCTTGCTTTGGTAGCACTGATAGAGAAAGCAGAGCCCACCATGGGCAGTGGCTGGTCCAGGAGAAGCACAGAGCAGCCAAAGGGGGTGGGAGCCCCACAGCCAGTTCATCTGGGGGGTTTGCTGAGCAAAATGCACGTTTTATGCCCACCTGTCAAAAGTACCTTGTAACTTTTAGTATCTCCTTTTTGGGTCACATAGCTTGATACAGAGCAAGCTTGGACTTGAGCAGGTGGCAGGACCCTTCTCACCAAGCTGACCTTGTGAAGTGGGACAACTCTTTGTTGCTTTTGAATAGAAAACCCCTGCACTGGGAAACCCTCTGCTGTTACTTGTTTTTTGGCAGTGTTCCCATAGACTAACTAAATCCTTTGGCTTGTTGGGCCAGGGTTACTGGGTATGTCCAAAAGAACAGGTCTGAGAAAGCATTTCTTTAAGGCTACTTTACTATTTTATATAGCCATGCATTTTGATTAGTTCTTATTTTGGGAGTGTGACTGTGTTTGCAGGGGTCTTAGGATGAGGGAAGAGAGGAGGATCTGACTCCATGTTTCAGAAGGCTTGATTTATTATTTTATGATATATATTATATTAAAACTATACTAAAAGAATAGAAGAAAGGATTTCATCAGAAGGCTAGCTAAGAATAGAAAAAGAATGATAACAAAGCCTTGTGGCTTGGACCTCTCTGTCTGAGCCAGCTGGACTGTGATTGGCCATTAATTAGAAACAACCAACATGAGCCAATCACAGATCCACCTGTTGCATTCCACAGCAGCAGATAACCATTGCTTACATTTTGTTCTTGAAGTCTCTCAGCTTCTCAGGAGGAAAAATCCTAAGGAAAGGATTTTTCATAAAAGATGTCTGTGACATGGGAGGGATTTTTTTTTTATTAGTTCTTATTTTGGGAGGGAATTTTTTTTCTGGGTGCTAGATTTAGTACTTCCCCAGCTTGCCTTTTTTTCATCAGGATGAAACCCTGCCTCCTCAGTGGGAGATAAGCCACTGGTTTTAGGTGGGGCCAAATTTCTCTCGGGACCCCTTGCTTTAGTGGCCGAAGTGGCAGAGAGTCTATAAAGCCCCTTTTGCCCCCCAGCAGTGGTTATGTCAGGGCTTGCGAG